GACTCGGACTCGGACTCGGACTCGGACTCGGACTCGGGGGGTGCGGACTCGGACTCGGACTCGGACTCGGGGGGTGCGGACTCGACTACAACACTGACACACACGCACGCACACACACCTGTTCTATATATGTGTGTATTAATCACTTGTAATTTCTTATATGCAGGTTGAAGCTAAACCGAACCAGCGCTGGACTAATGAGGAATTACTGCTGGCTGTACAAGGTACAATGCTAGTGCAACTGTAAATAGATCTACTCAATTATGACAGGTGCAAATGCACCGGCTTTGCTCTGTTCCTTTGTGCCATCACTGTTTAATAATATGCTCCGACGATTTCTGCCATGTTTCTATCTTCTCCTTTACCAGGCGTCAGGAGATACGGCAAGGATTTCCAGGCAATTGCCGAGACAATTGGTAACAAGAGTGCAGCACACATTCGCAGCTTCTTCATTAACCACCGGCGACGTTACAATCTTGATGAAGTTGTGAAGGAGTATGAGGCTGAATACGGACCCATGGAGAAGATGGGAGACGAGGAAGATGAGGACAAAGAAAAGGAAGATGACGAGAAAGAGAAGGAAGAGAAGGTATCACTGTTCTGTTGTGCATTCACAGAAAATACATGCTGAAACTATGAAATTATGAAAGGCTAGGTAAGAATGAAGTATTCTCAGGCATGTCTAACTAGTAATCTCCCGACTCTCGAGAAATGTTTAATAATCATACAGCACCTATAACTTAGCAGATTGTCTTTTTTTTCTTCGTGAACAACCAGCTTATGGTACATTGATTAAATGTGATTATAGGTTTAGACTTACATCTTTTTTTCGTTCAACAGATGGAAACTTCACAGGGTTCTGGCACTTCGAGTCCGGCCCCACATGCTAATGCAGCAGTCGTGGCTGCTACTGCTGCTGCTACTACTGCTGCTGCTGCTGCTACTACTGCTGCTGCTGCTACTGCTGCTGGTGGTGGCAGTGGTGGTGGTGCTGCTGGTAGTGGTGGTGGTGGTGGTAGTGGTGGTGGTGGTGGTACACCAGTAGCACCCCCTCCTCTGAAGCACACCCAGCCAGGAGTGCTACGAGGCCCCCCACCACTGCAGCAACAACCCTATCATCACCAATATCAAAGGTACCCATATATCAAACCAAAAATGTTGAAATGAAGAAAGTAGAATGGTAGTAGTAAGAAGTAGAAAAGTAGGAATGTAGATACAATAGTTGTAACGTATTGCAGACTAATATTAACAGATAACTTAATAGAGAAGGTAATGTTTCTTAAGTTGGGTTTGTGTATATCACATAACAATTTTACTGACTTGCACCCTTTGCTGCACAGCAATGATATTTAGACATTAGATGTGCAATAAATTCCGTTTAGAAGTAGATGCATTGATGTTTTCCAATCAACCTGACAGTAACAATGTTCACTCTAACTTGTTGGCTTTTGTTTTCTAGGCTTCTTCCACCAAGACCAGGACTTCTGCATATGCCACCACCCTTGGTGAGACCGAATGGAGCCCCTGCACCAGCGCACACAACTAAAGCCCCTCAGCAATAACCTTGTAGAGGTCAAGTAACTTCTCAACTCCTGTCCACTCACCCCTTTGTTTTTTGTTTGTTTTTTTGGTTTCATTTACTACTTTTACCGGATTATTTATGTTACGCTAAAACGCTGAAATCTTGAAAGCAGCTACAGATATTGTGTGCAAAGTACCTATGAAGGCGATGTATCAGATATAGTTTTTATTTAATAAGCTTAAAAACTAGGAAAAATCTATCTAAAACGTATTACCCTTGTACATGAGCTGAATCCAGTACGGTATAACAAATTGTATTCAGCTCTTTTCACATGGATATCTGTTGTTCTTCTTAAAGCTTTGAACAAAATTTGTGCAAGATTGCCCAATTATATATGAACCATTGAGTTGGTGGGCTCAGTAGTTCAGCAGACCTTGCATGGTTGCTCTCAACACCGAAAGCTACAAACAAAATTTAAATATTGGTAGGCACAAAATAGAACACTGGAAGTAACAAAAGCAGTGATTAATGGACACAGGTTAGGGGTAAATAGTGCCACTGGAGTTTTTATTGCTTATCGATTTAAATGTGTATTTTGCTGTCTTCATTCACTGAGGAGGGGTAGAGAGGAGTGGGCATATTTAACATTTAAAATATTGTAAATATTATGTTGAACATACGTCAAGAGTGATGTAGTGTTTTATTTTTCTTCTTAAGACTCATCACAATTATGGTGATTTGTACCAGAATCGTGACGCTATTCTAGAATTTTCCGTCTGCGATGTAACTGGCCAATAGCGGAAACACCGTTTTGTTAAGAGCAAGTATCAATAGGCAGTAGAAATGGTGTGCAGTACCAGCATGAACTGTACATCCCAGAACACGTATCAGGAGTTATGAGAATACATGTATTCTGTAGCCATTTTATTGGTGATTGTTGATTCACTTAACATTGTTCCTAGCTATATGTATCATTATGTTTGCATTAGAGCAGTGTGTTATGTGATGAGGATTTTCTGGGGAAACGTTTTTTGTGATGTGCTAGTGTATCCGACAAACTGGTTGTTCAGTACTACTGGTTTACTGATATTATATGTGTGTGCGTGTGTACGTTAATAATTTAACGTTCATTTTCTACTATTCACTATTAGAAAAACACAAAACTAATTTCTGGTTCAACAGATGATAACAAACTGTGTAGCTTGCTACTGCGTTTTTACACTTTACTTAATAAATTCTAGAAGTGAGAATAAATATCGGGTCTTCGAGTGAATAAATTAGAGGTGATGTAACATTTTCTTTAATATTTAATATCGTTTTTTTATTTGTAAATAATAATATAATAAGCACAATACAAAAACCATAAGTTGGGGGAAAGTATTAGCAGGCATTGCAGTGGTTTCAGAACGGCATGCCAGGTTAAGCACCAGCATAGGCTCGTACAGCATGATACAGAAAGGACGGTTCTCAGCAGAAAACTGGTGCACTAAAGCGAGTATTACTAAAGGCTGACACGCGACTACTGGAAGTAGATGCGTGTGCAGCTCTCGATAAGCACCATCACAACCGCAAAACCACTGGCAAAACTGCCCCTTGTGAATCACGAGACTTCTCTAAACAACGCCAAAAAACGGAGAGAACGACAAATAATTCACGGGGATGCTGCGTGGCATCTCCACGAGTGCCATTATTTAGAGTAAACAAACACGATAGAGAACATTATTCGACAAGCAATGAAGAATTTTTTTAAATCAAGAGAACCATCATGACCAAAAAAATAGGCAGAAATAAATGTGACGATCTAGTCTACAATTGCGCAGATGCTGATTATGAGTGTGGATAGTAGTATTATGGCTGCGGAGTATCGCTTTACCGAGGCGCACATGCCATCAATCACGAATAGTGATTAAATCTCGTAAAACGTCCGAACACCTAGATGGAATCAACATATAATATAGCGATTCTTCATTTTCTCGAAGTTATTATTTCTCCGCGCGATCTCGTTTAATCTAACGGTGCCTAAATGTAAACATGATATCAATAATAGTTAGCATCTCTGAATAGTCCCTTCACAGATGAGCTTCCCTAGCTTCATATCGTTTTACTCACATAGTAAACAAGCCGTGGATGCAAGAGGAACTACGACAGAAACTAAAATCAAGCACTCCGTCAGGGGATCTCTAAACTACACGCCCCCTATAATACGGGTGAAAAAACACCAGACAGCTTCGTATATCAGAATAAATGGTTATACAAACACTTAAAAAGGCTGCGTTCAAATTGGACTAGTTGTTCAAAAGCGTGCCAGGCAAGGCTTCTTCAAATCACAGGCTTAGTATGTACATAGTGTCGTGTTACACTCACAATTGACGCATGCTGTTCCACTTATTCAACCACATGGTATACATTCCCTCTCCGTCACTCTACGATTTCCCCATTTCATCTCTATTGAATATCGACGCGACTACAAATAGTTCCTGCGTGCCATATGCTACTGAAGCCATTGATTTTGATGGACTGTCAAGCAAGCCTTTGCATAGAACACTAAATACATATTACCTATATAACCAATGCAATTGTATAAATGCCAATTTGTAATACTAGAGTGTAACACCTGTATGCTGCAACTATGTTACAACTATAATCACAACTAAACAGGGCCACATGGAGTTCTTTAGAACACAGGCCCTTTACAACACAGATCAAAGCAAGAGAAGACAATTTGCTGTTCTCTGGCCGTACATAAAGCATACAAGCTGCCATATCTAGTGTACAGAACACCAACGTTTCGAGAATTCTAGAGAAATCAGCAAGCTCATGGCCAATCAAGCACTAAATGCTAGAGCTGCTAGTACAAAACTACCAAATGAAGTCGCTGGCGTGTTCAAATCATGTTTTTGAGGACATCTCGAAAATTCCACTCACAACCGTGCGGGGCTTTTCATTAATTTTTTTTGTAAATTAAATGCATACATCTGGTATGCTCCACTTCCATTTTCAGGAGGAAGTTCAAATGCAATCTGATCAATGAAATAAACGTGCTCTCCGGCTGTTGTTTACCGGTATGATTTGTACCAGCGTGCAGTCAACACGTGAATGTGCTGCCGGCACTGTAGTTACACTCCGACTAGATAATAAAACATTTGGTCAAAGCGAAGTCTGGTCAGATATCGTGATTATCACACACACACACTTCACTACAATGTTTGCGCTAGCAAACAGGCGAGTGGAACTGGATTTCTATACATCTGTTCCTTCCTCGTACATCCGATAGATACTCCGTAAAATGCTCTGTCAAAGCTGCGTCTGACGAAAAGCACAACTATGTTTAGTGAGGAAGAAGCAACGCGGGGAAACCACGAGATGCCTTCGCGTCGTCGCACTTTGGTACATCGGACTGTGTAAAGTAACAAACAAACAAAGCTAAACACTACAAATTAACTTAGCGCGCGCAAATGTTACGCAACCCGGAGTGTCGCTGTTCTATTTTCTCACTGCCGAGGGAGAGAGATTGCGTTAGCTGTCAAGCTCGCACCTATTTCTTCAACGTGAAAAAGCTACGTTTCTTCGGCTCCTCTTTCTTCTCGCTGCCTATCGGCAGGGTCTGGGCTCGGCTCGGGCTCGTCGGTGTGCCCGCGATCTCACGCGCCGAGTTTATCGTCCGAATCCAGAAGTCCATCTCACTGTCGTCCTTCGCTTGGAATAAATATATGCTGCCGTCGGACAATCTGGAGAAGTATTATGTAGAATTGTGAGAGTGTATAAGAAATATATTATGTAGAATTGCAAGAATGAATAAGACATGTATTATGTAGAATTGTAAGAATGTATAAGACATGTATTATGTAGAATTGCAAGAATGTATAAGACATGTATTACGACATTCAGACTAATATATCATGTAAATATCATGTAGATGGACAGATCGCACGCGCAATTTGCTATGGATAAACAAACACCAAACGTAGATGTTACTATTAAATTCTCTTCTCCTTTTCTTATTTCATCCTTGATTTCCATCAGAGCTGGAACGAAACAATCTGATTCCCTGCCTTGACAGACTAACAGTGTTTTCGACACAGTGTATACATACGAAGTAAGAGATAGGAAATGTACTTACTTGAGTCTATAGACATGCTTCTTCTTTATATAGTCACTAGCTACCTCTGCCTCTCCACCCCTCAGGTCTAACGGGCCATCTCGGGGCACAGCACCCTCCTGTAAAAATAACCAAACAACCATGTGTGATACAACGTCAACACAGCAGTGGTTAGTCAGGAATGAAATGAACACACGCACGCACGCACGCACGAACACATACAGGCAGGCACCTACCTATATAATGGATACACAAACAAACCCATGTAGGCACTCAGGTTCACGCACACACATAGGGCCTTCAGCTCACGCACCCACCCACCCACAGAGGCACTAAGTAAACGCACGTGAGCACACATGGATGCACACAAATTTATAAAAGAGAACAGTACAAATGAAAGCAGATAGGCTCACTTGTTTAGCATGCTTCTGGTCTTTGAAGAATGATAGCCTAGGTCCTCTCAGCACCGTGAAAAGTTTTTCCCATGATCTGAAAGCAATGTCAGTTTAGTAATGCTCTCAAACAAGTTAGCAAAAAACCCTCTGTGCAAATCGGTGCAGCACTTCTTTCATGTTAGCTTTCGTGTTTGCTTCGTGACATAATGCAAGGTTTTGCTGCATGTATTTTTGCCTTCGTTTTTACTGCGTAAACAACATTCTGGTGAACCAGTCCCAGCTCGGAAGCTCCTGAATTTAAGCTATACAGATATGGTACACCAACCTTTTGGTCGATTCTCCTGATTTATCGATCTCTAATAATTATTACATCGCCTATATAATAAGCAGCTGGCTATACATAACACTGATGAATACATTTATTGAGAGAATCAATACACAAATGAACAATTCAGTGGGCTCTCCGAAGCTGATAATATTCAATGAGGGTTTTTTATTTCAGGTACATGATCTATACTCCCTCTCCAAGACTAATATATTCCTACTCTGTGATTTCATATAGACCTCGATTGAGAATCATACAGCTAGACTGTCGACTATAGAAGACATAGTCGATATAGTAGACTATAGAACTGTCTCTACACGCGTGATAAAGTAGATTATGTATGGCTGTATTTGCTCAATATACAGCTGATGCAAACCAACTTGACTGACACTGCCATGATGATGGTTAAAGCTGTGGACACACTACGCGATTTTTCATGCGATCGAGCCGGCCGGCTCAGTCGGGCGACTCTGTGGACACACTACGCGACTAAGTCGGGCGACTCTGTGGATTTTCAGCACGCTGATTGGCTGATGAATTGTACAATCGGCCGGCTCAATCGCAGACCCGGGCACACTAGGCGATTGCAGCCGGCCGGCTCAAATAATTATCAAACATGTTTGAATCGGGCGACTCGGCCGGCCGACTCGAAAATCGACCGCGACTCACTGGACACACTACGCGATTTTTCATGCAATCGAGCCGGCCGGCTCGGTCGGCCGGCTCGATCGCATGAAAAATCGCCTAGTGTGTCCACCCCTTAAGTTGGTAGTTTCGCTCACCTGGACGTTGCCTTCTTGCCGCCAGCTGTCAAGTCATGCTTGCGCACCAGCATGCTCTCCATGTGCGCATCTCCACTCTCTGCCTCTGCAGCACCTAATAAAAGCACACGGGTATACGCCCTGTCACACAGCGCACAAAGGACACCATGATGTACGCGCATGCGATCAAGACCTAATAATACATTATTATAGATATTATTAACTCTTGATGTGATCCCAGGTGATACGGGACTGAGGAGGAATGAGCTTACATAAGGAGAAGTACGAAACAGTGATAGTGGAGGGGAGTATTCACAGGTTGGGGATAGGTGTGCCACTCCGCAAGGATTACAGCTACTGTCATGAACTTATTACGATCCCTCCTGCCACGATAAACCTACCTCGTGGTGAAGACTGCTGCTTAGGTATGTAAGAGCCAGTATCTGATGCTGCCCTAGGTGAGCTGTCTTGTCTCAATTCCCAAACTACTGTGCAAAGAACATGCCCACACAACTAACACAGAGTGTTCACATACAGGTTGCACACAGTCATATACTAGTGGAAAGTGCAAAACTTGCAAAACTACGCTACCATGTAGATGAACAAGTATTAAAATCAGTACACACGAAAAAAATGTTGACAGTGCCATTGACAACAGCTCGAAAATAGTGCTTTAGAATAACATGCGATTTTTGCCATCAATTGGAAGATCAGAAGCAAACAGTTTCTATCACATTCCCTAGAAAATACAGGTAAGATAACCTGAGAATGTAAATCACAACACAAATATAAAAGGGTGCTACAAATGAAGGTAATGCAAAAGCAATTATCTCTCAAAAAACCTTGCAGAAACATTAATTCCCCAACTAGCATTCCCATTATTTCACATAAATGTTTTTCACCACTATTTCATTTTTCGCCGCTACCATTAGGGGTGGAACAATACAAGTAACTTACGATACGATTCGTATCATGATACACCTTTCACGACCAAGCAGCGCTGATTTTTTCAATTTACATCACAATTTTGCAAAACTTTCAGACAGCTTTTGCTTTGTTCTAACCCCTCTACTTTCGTATACAGGATAACCAACGTGCACCCAAACAGTTGACATAGCGATTGCTAGCGCGACAATCTCAGCGAAAATATCCACGACATTTATTTTAGCGCTTAAAATATAACTGCAATTAAATTGGAAATTGTGTCGAGTTACTTTTGTTTTTAAATGAAACTACTCTACTTAATGATGTTGATTTTATTCACCGGAGTATCGATATGGTTATCACGAATGATCAAACATATCGGTGGGCGTATCATCAAGGCTTGTAACGTGATACATCCATATATTAATTAATCGTTCCCCCCCTAACTAGTATTGATACTAAGCCTTTTTGTGGCAAAATTGCATCAGGTGTTCCCAAGAAAGTCATTTACAATTATCAAAATAGTGGCAAGTTTATGAAATTTTAAAATATTACGATTTTGATAAATATTTCCACTGTTTTAACGAGTCACAAAGTTACCACAGACGTATGTTATTACTAATGCCTACCAGTAATTGCCTAAAATATTCTGCAACGTTCAAGAGATAATCACTTCAATTTGTTAAAATACCTACTGATAATAGTCTTTAAAGTTTAAAAACTACTATCAGTCAGTATGCCATAATGCCAGCATGCCAAGAGAGGAAGAGATGGAGGCACATGCAGAGCGACAGTAACCTAATTGTCTATCATGCAAAAAAGTAACGCACCCACCACTTCTACATACGCAGATGTCCCAACGACCTATTACAATGCGTGCAACTGTGACCAGGGAAAGAAACATGCATACCTGATAAAGAAACCTGCCACCGATAGCATTACAGTTAAGGTATTCATATTGAAGCGGCTGAACCTGCCTCTTACCGCATGGCACCAGCAAAAGCATCCATATTGCCGCAGCTGAACCTGCCTCTTGCCCCATGGCACCAGCAAAGGTATTCATATTGCACCAGCTGAACCTGCCTCTTGCCCCATGTCACCAGCAAAGGTATTCATATTGAAGCAGCTGAACCTGCCTCTTACCGCATGGCACCAGCAAAAGTATCCATATTGCCGCAGCTGAACCTGCCTCTTGCCCCATGGCACCAGCAACGGTATTCATATTGCACCAGCTGAACCTGCCTCTTGCCCCATGGCACCAGCAAAGGTATTCATATTGCCCCAGCTGAACCTGCCTCTTGCCCCATGGCACCAGCAAAGGTATTCATATTGCACCAGCTGAACCTGCCTCTTGCCCCATGGCACCAGCAAAGGTATTCATATTGCACCAGCTGAACCTGCCTCTTGCCGCATCATGGCACCAGTAGAGAGCTTGATAGCGGCACCTACCTTGAGGTGACGGTGGCCCCTCCGCTGGTACAGCTGCTGTCCCACTGTCACCGGATGCACGAGTTGACTCGGTCTTCCTCACGGCTGCCTCAGCTGCCTCCCTGTGTGAAGAGACACGCATAGATTTGTAATGATCATAATGTCTCTGCCTCATGCAGCATGTTGAATGCCAGCGTTTTTTCCAAGTATTCTTGTATGGTTCTGAGTATGTTTAATGGCAGAGGCAACATGGTCTGCCATTTTGAAGCACCAGGTTAGCAATGGATTTTACACATTTTCCCCCTTCATAAATCTTTCAGTATGTGAAACCCCACCCATGTAAGCAGGCACACACGCACGCAGCACTTACGCATGCTAGCCCGTACACACACGCGTATAGTGACGAATGGATGTAAGCATGCACACCCACCTTTCTTTTCTTTCTTGTTCCAACTGCTCCTCTATTTGTCTCTGCTGGGCTCGGTTTCTCTCCTCCTCCTCTTCTTGTCTTCTTCTAAGCTCCTTTAACTCGTACTGTAAAACCATAACATAACATGAGCAGAATGACTAGATGTTTAACCAGGCAGTAATATACAAGCATTATCACAACTGATGACTAAATTAGTAAGAATTGTGAATATACACTATTAACATTAATTCCATTTCATCAACAAAAAAACATAAGAAAAAAAAAAGGGAAAAAAAACAACAAATCATAATGGTATAATAGGTTATATCATTTCATATCATATATATAAAATCATATCTTATCACGTCATTATCTAATTTTATTAATATTATCACATTATTATATATAATATACATTATAAACTGTATATATACATTAATTATATACTATAGTAGATATACGCCGCGTTTTCACTGCAATCGGCCGATGAGTTGATGACTTATATATATATATATATATATATAGATAGATAGATAGATAGATAGATAGATACACAGGCAATATTAGGAAGACACAATAGCTTGTTATGTTCATTCTCTTGGTAAAATTACTTCCACATGAACTGGAGCATCATATATTTATACGGATCTTCATGTAAGTTATATATATATCATATTTCTCATGCCTAAAGAGGAGGGAGATGACGGGTTAACCTTGAAGTAGTTACATGTTAATACAATGACAAACAACACACAGAGAAAGACAAACAGGATATTAAGTAATTTGTATGGTTTTATCAGAGTATAGCATTACCATGCTAATCACAAACAGTGATGTATGGGTAATGCAGTTAATAAATCCACGCTACTTATTTATTTATATGAAGATCAACGCAATTTTATTTGGCAATCATTGATTGCTAAATACATTGTCCCCCCCCCACTTCTTTGGCACGCATCTTCTCCTTCACTGTGGCAGCTAGCAATCTTAATTTTGCAGGAGGAATATGACATTCTCAAGAAGAAGTGAAGTCTGCACTGTGAGGTCAATGGGCAAGCAACGAGCGGCGCGAGACACACCGAAACCAAAACCAAAACCACATTGTGTAGTTGCGCTCTTAGCATTATAATATACATTATAAACTCTATATATACATTAATTATATACTATAGTAGATATACGCCGCGTTTTCACTGCAATCGGCCGATGAGTTGATGACGTCAGCAGCTACGTGTATGACACACCTACTGCTATGGACTGCTTGCTACCGCACAGACAGTGCTGAGAATCCAACAGCTGCTGGAATTGCCCAGTATTCGGTCTTGCAGCGAATACAGGCGTCTAGTTACTTACTGAATTGCTCCTCTAAAGTATCGTATTATATTCAACCGAGGTGTGAAGATGTGGCCAGTTCAATAAAGAATCCGTATTGATTAAACTTCTTGCCATTGCACTATAATGCAATATAGGGGTGTAAAAACAATAAAAAATCACACACAACACACAGAGACACACATGCGCGCACGCACGCACGCACGCACGCACACACACACACACACACATACACGCACACACGCACGCACCCAGACACGCCCGCACGCACCCAGGCACGCCCGATACACACACACACACACGCACGCACGCACGCACGCACGCACGCACGCACGCACGCACACACACACACACACATGTTAGTTCAACAGCATTGCACTCTTTCATGCAACAATTAATATTCTGATGCTGTCAAACAAGGGCAACAAGACAGCAATAATGACATGTCCTGCTATGCAGCAGGAGTTCTATGTTATTGCGAGTAAGTCACTATCGCCATGAGAATCATCATGCGACCGACGAAAACCATAATCTGAGCAAATTGCTAGGAGGGAGGTGCAAAACTTCATGACCCAACTAAGTACTGACAAGGAAGTTTCACAAAACAAGCCACATGTAGGATATGAATACGCGGAAGGGGTAAAACTTTGTCCTAAAGTTAATTACATTAATTTCATGTTAATTTACATTCAATATCATTTTATTTTGCTCATCAATCTAGAGAAGGTTAGTTGGCCCCACACAGGCTACGACCCTGACAATTAGGCCGAACACGACATATGTTGGAATCTTGTTCACACGCCTCACGCTGGTTATCACGAATGCTGATGCATTGTTAGCTTCATGCACTCATGCCTGCAGGCACGCATTACCCCTGAATATTCAGATTCCATCCGGCTTAATCGCACCGTTTCTTTGTGAATGCGCTTGTGTTGATCCCTGAGCTCCATCTATTGTCGCAATGCAACACGTTACAGCAGGTATCGGCACGCGCACACCAACACACCCAGCCCCAACCTCCACCATCAACGACAGAACGACAAGTTGGGTGGATGATGAAAAAACGTTTAGAAGAAATACTTATAGAAATAATAATATTCAATGTCATTTTAATCTACGTTAAGAGAAGACGTAAAAGAATAAACTTCAAGAAGAGAAATAAGAGAAAAGAAGCGGAAAAACCGTGAACTGACACCAAACTGATGATTTTGTAATGCACAAAAAAATTGAGTAAAAGATTTATTGAAGCAAAGATTGAAATTTTACAGAAACAAATTAAAGACCGAGATCACAATCAAAAGCGTATACCTTGCAATAAACCCTCGGATGATGATAGAATCACCGCACACTTTAATGCATCGAATTAATGTGGAGAAAAATAAGGCTGAATTCTTGTCCGTGCTTACCGTTGTGAGTCGCGCGAGAGCCGTAAATCTGTCCTCCTGAGCAATCGCCGACTTCTCGAATGCTTCATGTTTCTTTATGAGTATTTCGACCTCATCCAAAGATCTCTGAAGAAAGGCAGCACAGCATCAGCACCAGACAATTAACGTGCGACCTATAGGCTAGCTCAATCAACAAATCAAAGCAACAGCTCTGTAGGGCTGCAACATTTTTGACTACGCAAACATAATTCGCTTAATTAAATATAAAATAAAAATAATAATAACTTAATTCCGTCCTAACCCACAGATGGAGCTGTAACAGGGAGAGCTCACTTACACCCATTTCTTCGCTTCCTAAGTATGGTTCCATAGAGAAAAGCCACGATTCTGCAACGGCTGCATCACGTGCAAACTGGAAGACCTCGAGAACTGAAACGATAGACACATTCATTCACATATCATCACAAACATGAAGATTATCAGCCTCTAAAAATGTTACCAGGTCCAATGCATGCATGTCACATATCAACCCAAACATAAAAATTATTAGCCTCTGAAAAGCTACCAATGCATGCATTTGTGCTATTTACTGTACTGTGATGAATAATTTGGAATAACAAACACTCACCTAGCTGCAGATGTTCCCAACGATGTTCCCACTGTTCCATCATCCGCGTTCTCTGGTTGGTTAATCCCAGGAGTTTATCCCTAATCTGTAACACGGAACGTACTTCAATGGCATTTCTACGCAATGTCTAATTTGTATCAGTTAAAACTGTGAAATCCTTCACTCTCGTCCCCCCCCCCCCACACACTTCCCTGTCTGCACTCTCCCACCCGTTCTTTCCCGCCCGCTCTCCAACGCTCACTCTCCCCCCGCCCGCTCTCGCCCCGCCCGATCTTGGCCCGCCCGTTTTCCCCTGCCCGCTCTCCCCCTGCCCGCTCTCCCCTGCCCGCTCTCCACCGCCCGCTCTCCCCTGCCCGCTCTCCCCTGCCCGCTCTCCCCCTGCCCGCTCTCCCCTGCCCGCTCTCCACCGCCCGCTCTCCCCTGCCCGCTCTCCCCCTGCCGGCTCTCCCCCGCCCGCTCTCCCCCTGCCCGCTCTCCCCCTGCCGGCTCTCCCCCTGCCAGCTCTCCCCCTGCCGGCTCTCCCCCTGCCAGCTCTCCCCCTGCCGGGCCTCACCTCGTCGGATGCGTAGTGTCGTCGCGACAGCAGCGTCTGTCCGAGCGCGACGCACACGTCGACGTTCTCCTCGCGCGCGTCGATCTCGTTCTTCAGGCTCTGGTGGTTGTTCATGAGCAGCTCGACCCCGGAGACGTCGCGAGGCTTCTCCTGCGTGTTCATGTGCGTCACGATCTCCTCCATCCACAGCATCAGGTCGCGCACCATCATGAAGAACTTCAGCAGGTCGCCTGCGTGAGCGTGCAAGCGCGGTCAGCCGGTCAGTACATCACGCTCTACGATTTGCTATGCACGACACCCAGTGGCATCGCTAGACGTCGACTAGAAAAATCTATTTATTTTTTATATTTATATAATTTCAAGTAGAGAAATATATTTATTTTTTATACATAGATAATTTACATTTTATAATTTAGATTTATTCTCTCAAAATGTGTGTGTTTGCATGTACGATCAAGCCGGTCAGTACCAACGCTACGATTTACTTATTAGGTTGATTGAAACCCAGCGACATTGCTAGACATCCAACTAGAGAGATCTTTTTTTAGTTTTTTTATTAGATAATTTTATTTGTTATAATTTAGATTTATTCTCTCTTAATGTGTGTGTTTGCATGTACAATCGAGTACACGAAACTATAAAAGAAGCTCAAACGATATTTGAAGCTTAGAACAAATTTGAAGCGTAGATGACACGTACTTGTATCCACCAGTTTGTTTCTGCGGGCGTCGACGGTGGACTGTAGATTGCGCCACGCGTTGACAACCTCGGTCTCACGGTTCTGTATCTCGCGCGCCTTGTCTCCTGCGTACACGGCCTGCAGCTTGTTGGACTTCTCCTGCACAGCTTGCACCTGTCACACAGACACACAGACACAACCATATCATCAAGGATCAAGGTAGTTATCATTTGATATCATAAGGAGTGTATAATATATGGATAATATAAAGTGTATAATATATATTTCTATCTTATACACTCCTGATATCATGCACGCAGCTCTACACATTGATGAGAACTTAATTGGTATAAGTGCTAGATAAACAGACACATTACTGTTGGTGTAGGGTGCACAGCTCAAATAAGTAAACAGATGGTAAAAGACGATGACGTAAAGTTCATCACAGAGACTGCAGAACCATATCATGCACGCAGCTTTACATCTTGATGACGACTTGCCAGATAAACGCACACTTTACTGTTGGTGTAGGGTGGCACGGCACAAATATCAAATCAGTATAAACAGATGGTAAAAGATGATGACGTACTGTTCATCACAGAGGGATATCTGTCAATTACGAACTTGACATTACTAATTACGAGACACCGACACGTTTCTGCTGATACGATAGCTTGGTCTGACAAGGACACATTTTTTGTCCACGAAAAATCTTTCCACGACTAAGCGATTCAGGTACATTCGTGATGAAACGAACTGTGGTTAATTATTGAGCTTGGTAACGTATGCACTCACGTGTCCCGCTAGGGTGGTCAGGTCCTGCTCAAAGTTAGCATGCTTGCGCTGCAGGGCTGACACGCTTCCTGTGTCACGACCGAGCTCCTCGGACATCGAGTTCTGCTTCTCCTACAAGACAATACCTTCAACCATCAGCACACACTTACAAACGACATTGCTCATCGTACAACATAGTGCTTACTGCCCTGTGTCACAGAACATAGGTTTGAATACAGAGAATCACGTAATCACATTATACATATACCGATGCATTATGAGTTGCATACAGCCAGTCTTAACAAATTGTCACCATGGTTACAAGCAACATCTGGTAGGGAAAGCTACAGCTAATCCAAAGAAACTCGAGCGGAGCTAATTTGGAACTTTCTCCTCTTTTTTTCAAACGCCTATAGAATACAAGCATGATAAATACATACTACAGGTTTTGGTGTCATTAGTCTGTACTTACTAACCCCTACTTCACGCCAAAACCCTAACCCTAACCCCAATCTACGAGCAAACAAACCAGGACAAAGAAGCATTACACCCGGAAATTCCCTGCGGTTGCTAAAAGCTGACGACCAGTCGCAAGAATCTGCTTGCTAGACTCGCATAACATATGGCTTCATGGAACATGCTCTGAGGCACTGCTCACACGCGAATCAACGAGCCAACGTTGTCTTAACATCGCATAAGTGTGACAGCTAAACATATGGATGCTGCCAGGTGACTTGCACATGCTGATGATGAAGCTGAAAGCTAGAGTCTATGAAATGTAAAGCGAGAGAAGTTCGAACGTTTACTAATAACAAGTGTAATCGCACGCTTTCATAATTATATGATTATCATACGACTGAAGTGGCACAACGTACGGATTCTAATCATCATCCATGACATACAGTATAAACCCACGTATAAGAACCTAGTGATTAAGAACCTGTTAGGCTAAGATTTTCCATTTAGACCCCCTTGACATAAGAACCTGTTGTAGCCTAAAACTTGAAACAGGTTCAAACAAATTCAGTTAACACTTTAAAATTCATAAATCAACTAAAACAAGTTCTTGGTGGTCTATATACCTCTATTAGGTATAAAGGGCATAAAAAGAAATAAGAACGTAGAATAGGGGTTGTATTTGTCTAGATTGCAGTCATTTAGACATAATTATATGAATATTTTGTATAAACATGGACCGCACCAATATTCTACCAGCCACAATCACCTTATTTTCTCAAGAAAATATGAACCTATTTAAGAACCTAAATAGCCTAATTTCCCAGTACACACCAATTATATAAGAACCTTTTTAGGCTAACCTGGAACAAGAGCCGCAGAGCGTCTGGGCTCATCTGGGGTCTGTTGCTACGGTTATGAACGTACAATTTCAGTCGTGCGTAGTGACACATTTGTTAGGCGCAGATATGCAGATACGCAGTTGCGTAC